TATTAGGACCCTCACACTGACACAATGCATGGAAGTTACAAGATGGATTCCTTCCGAACAAAGCGAGTAAAACCCTGTTTGACATACATTTTAATGAGTTTTTTTGAAGAAGATATGCTTTGAAATAATGAATTTTTGGAGAATATACAGTTAAAGTATGAAAAAAATTTGAATTTACATATAAAATACTTTATTATTTGAATACGTAGTTGAAAATGTATTTAAAAAAAAAAGAGTTTTAATGAAAGTCAAAGAGGGCAAAATATTCGAGCAGAGATTCAGAACCCGGGATTAAATTCAGGGCTAAGGCGGGGCCCGCGCGATTCACATCGGTCCCATTCCAAACTCGAGATTTTATCCCTGTTTGAGCACAATTTCCAAAATATTCGCACTGTAATGTGACTCGCGCGTATTGAAAGACCATTATTCGAGTCTGCTGCCCTCCACGTCCTCTCCTTCTGTAGAACAACTGTTGGGTCTGTTTCTAGACATAGAAAGTAGGAAAGAGTAAAGACGCAATTGATAGCGACGTCGTGGCAAGTTCCTATCCCACATGTAACACTATCGAATTCTAGAAGCCGAAATTTTCCAGGAAGTGACGCGTGTTCCTCTTGTCTTATCCCTACAAACAAACAAATAAACATCTATTTATTTATTTTTTTTTGTCCAATTTAGGGTTTGTTTAACATAATTTTTACTTTTACTTTTGCTTTTATTTTTTGTTAAAAAAATTTAGGGAGATTTATCTTAATTTTTATTTAAAATTAATTTTTAAAACAATTTTATATTCCAAAAGTTATTTTAAAGGAACTTATATTGAACTAGCTTCCTCTAAAACTTCTTTTAATTAGAAAAAAAACGCTTTCATAAACTTAAACAAACTGATCCAAATATAGCTCTTGAATATCAAATTCTCGTTTTGACTTTTCGAAAAGAAGAATGCTATTTGCAGTGAAAACTACCGACAGTCGTCCTATGTGGCGTATACTTGGCAGTTTTTCATTTGATGTATAATTCAAAAAATAACTATCATATCTATGTATCAAATACTAAATTGTCAAGTGTATGCCATATAGGACGACTACTGACAGTCCTCACTACGAATAGCATTACTCTTTCAAAAATCATGGCAAACAGACTTTTAGTTTATGTCTTAAACAAATATGAAAATTGTGGACATTTTTAATTATACTAAAAAATTTAAATAAGGTATGGAGCGTTAATTTTAGTTTTCTTATTTTAACAAACATAATATTCAAAAGTAAATTCTAAATCCAAAAGATTCTTAAATTCATATTAGATATAATTTACTTTCTTTGTTTATATATTACGTTAATATTGAATAAAATCTTTTTTAGTCACACGGGCATTGGTTAGTCTCGTGTGCACTGGACAAGGAAATTGTATGTATTCATTAGTATTTTGTGCATCGAGCAATGAATCGGTGAACTCACTGTATTGGTGGAGTTAAAACTCGAAACAAATTTCAAACAAAAAGTGTAATGACTTTATAAAAATTAAAAATAAATAATTCATATAAAAATTTATTTGAGACTCCAATGGGGATCAATGTCTTTATGGCCCCTCCTCCCTTCATGAACTGTTCAATGTTAGATTAATGCTAAATATTGATAGTATACACAAACATTACTAAATTTTTTAAATTAAGCTTATATTTTTAAACGAGAGGAGATAGGACCCTTGCACCCATCTCCCTTCGTCATTACCAGATATCATTTAGGTTGGTACAAAGCACATACACTTATTGAAAGTTTTTGCATTTTTAAATAAGCAGATCCATGTATCAAACATGTTCTTACGGGCATTATTGAGACACGATAGGGCATAGATTGCCACCTTACTCAATCGATGTTGACTGTCACCTAAATTAATGATACGCACCATTATATACTTCGCATTACTTAAAATTTTAAATATAGATTGCATATTTAGACAATAAAATTAATGTATCAAACAAGCTTTTACGGGCATTAATGAGAGGAGAAGGGCAGAAACCCCGTCTCCCTCTAATGTGTTAAGTGCCACCGGTATCATAGCATTATTTAAAATTTTGAATTATATTTTACAGATTTTAGACCAGAAGATTCATGTATTTCATTGAAAATTATGACAAAGTCAATGATCCCATAATTTCTTTCAAACAAGCATACGCAATGGGGGCATCGGCTCCCTTCTCCCTTTGCTATTGCCTAGTGTCACCTAACTTAGCCCTTGTTTGAACTGCATTATATTTCAAAGAATGCATTTTTGAATAGTGTATTGATGAAAAATGTGTGGTTAAAAAATAAAGAAAAGTTTTGGATTTACGTATAATATTATTTTATTGAAGAATGTGTTGTTGAAATGATATCAAATCACTGTTTAAAAATATTTTTTTGAAAAAATGTGGCTCAAACATAACCTTAATGTTAATCATCACATGGTAAGGAAATTCAATATTTTCTACTACTATTTAAGTGAGTCATCCCAAATAAATTGCGGATCTAAATTATTTAATATACGTCTTTATTAAATAGTTACACGGAGTAATGAGTATTAGTAATGAAAAAATTCGTATCAAAACCTACATTATGAGCATTAATGATAGGAGTTAGGGACACTGGTCTCTACCTTCATCTGTCACTACCCATTGTCACCTAAATCGATGCTAACACCATTAAGACTAACAAATAACGCTTATTTTACCTAATCGTACCACATAATCCTTTAAAAAGTGTTCCGAGATAGTAATTTAAGCTCTATGTTTTCTTTTCTTTGAATTAAAATTCAATCGGACGATATGATTTATGTATCAAATATACCTTTAATTTCAGTAGTGGTGTAAAATAGTTCTAAATTGTGTTTTAGAAGTCCAAAGCAGTTGAAAACATATTCAATAAAGAGATGCAAATAAAATGTAAATTGCATTTTTTGCAAAAATGTAATTACATTCGTAAGAGACAAAATGTAAATTTAAATATTTCTATTTTAGATCAAAAAACTGCAAAGATAATATTACATGTACATATGAATTGACCCTCTTAACATGGAGGAGGCCCACATACACCCTTGCACCCATCTCCCTTCGTCATTACCAGATATCATTTAGGTTGGTACAAAGCACATACACTTATTGAAAGTTTTTGCATTTTTAAATAAGCAGATCCATGTATCAAACATGTTCTTACGGGCATTATTGAGACACGATAGGGCATAGATTGCCACCTTACTCAATCGATGTTGACTGTCACCTAAATTAATGATACGCACCATTATATACTTCGCATTACTTAAAATTTTAAATATAGATTGCATATTTAGACAATAAAATTAATGTATCAAACAAGCTTTTACGGGCATTAATGAGAGGAGAAGGGCAGAAACCCCGTCTCCCTCTAATGTGTTAAGTGCCACCGGTATCATAGCATTATTTAAAATTTTGAATTATATTTTACAGATTTTAGACCAGAAGATTCATGTATTTCATTGAAAATTATGACAAAGTCAATGATCCCATAATTTCTTTCAAACAAGCATACGCAATGGGGGCATCGGCTCCCTCCTCCCTTCGCTATTGCCTAGTGTCACCTAACTTAGCCCTTGTTTGAACTACATTATATTTCAAAGAATGAATTTTTGAATAGTGTATTAATGAAAAATGTATGGTTAAAAAATAAAGAAAAGTTTTGGATTTACGTGTAATATTATTTTACTGAAGAATGTATTGTTGAAATGATATCAAATCACTGTTTAAGAATATTTTTTTGAAAAAATGTAGCTCAAACATAGCCTTAATGTTAATCATCATATAGTAAGGAAATTCAATATTTTCTACTACTATTTAAGTGAGTCATCCCAAATAAATTGCGGATCTAAATTATTTAATATACGTCTTTATTAAATAGTTACACGGAGTAATGAGTATTAGTAATGAAAAAATTCGTATCAAAACCTACATTATGAGCATTAATGATAGGAGTTAGGGACACTGGTCTCTACCTTCATCTGTCACTACCCATTGTCACCTAAATCGATGCTAACACCATTAAGACTAACAAATAACGCTTATTTTACCTAATCGTACCACATAATCCTTTAAAAAGTGTTCCGAGATAGTAATTTAAGCTCTATGTTTTCTTTTCTTTGAATTAAAATTCAATCGGACGACATGATTTATGTATCAAATATACCTTTAATTTCAGTAGTGGTGTAAAATAGTTCTAAATTGTGTTTTAGAAGTCCAAAGCAGTTGAAAACATATTCAATAAAGAGATGCAAATAAAATGTAAATTGCATTTTTTGCAAAAATGTAATTACATTCGTAAGAGACAAAATGTAAATTTAAATATTTCTATTTTAGATCAAAAAACTGCAAAGATAATATTACATGTACATATGAATTGACCCTCTTAACATGGAGGAGGCCCACATACAATAAAATATGTATGGATTCCCGTCATGCGAGGGGTTGTAACCCCATACACGTAGCACTTGTCAGAATGTAAAAGTCATTTTAAAAATATTATTTTACACTCAATTATTCCTTTATGAAAATTAATGAGAGGAGATACGAGGAGAAGACGCCTGTTATGTGAGTACGCCTCGAAATCCGGTTGTCTCAACCACGTGGCCGTGGGTTTAATCTTAATTCCTCTCCACGGTACCACGTGTCAATTTTCAATTGACTAGAGTTACACAATCAAAGTCCTTTTCGAGATTTCACTCTCTCAATAGCATAAATACCCTTGCAGTCGTTCTATATTTCTTCATCTTCCCCCTCTCTCATGGCGCGCTCTCTACAACTCGCCACTTTTCTTTTCTATAATTCGAAATTGGATACAGTATCATTTGAAATTCTATAACATTAGCGGATTATAAGAAGAAAATGTTTTGAAACTCAGCGTTTGAGCGCTTTTTTAAAAACCATTTTACTTCTTTTTTCTGATTTCTGGGGGAAAACAAAATTAAACTTAATTTCACTTCAAACTGAAGTTCTCTACAACTCGCCACTTTTCTTTTCTATAATTCGAAATTGGATACAGTATCATTTGAAATTCTATAACATTAGCGGATTATAAGAAGAAAATGTTTTGAAACTCAGCGTTTGAGCGCTTTTTTAAAAACCATTTTACTTCTTTTTTCTGATTTCTGGGGGAAAACAAAATTAAACTTAATTTCACTTCAAACTGAAGTTTTTTTTTATCTGGGTTTCATTAAAAACGGAAAAAAATTCAATCATACTTCTGAATGATGGCGGGAGCTCAAGGAAATTTCAATCTTCCTTTTCATGTTAATCGGTTTTTGGTAAATGGTCAGGAACAGGAGGCTGACGAAGAAATAGAGTTGAGTTTGGATCTATCATCGAATGGAAGATTTGGAATGGACCCTAATAGGAATGTCAAAAAGCTGAAGCGCTCGTCTTCCATTTCAAACATGTTTTTTGCAGCTGATGCTGTTGACTCGGGGGTTAATGGAGCAAGGGCGGCCTTTCAGTCGTACGGCACGCTGATGAGGACGAGCTCCCTGCCGGCGGATCCGCCCGAGGAGTGGCGGCGCAGGAAGGAGTTGCAGACTATGAGACGGATGGAGGCGAGGAAAAAGAGAATGGAGAAGTTGAAGAATGTGAGAATTGGCAAAGATAAGGAGAATTCTACTGAAGAAAATGGGTATAATCGATCACCTGGAGTTGTAATTGGAAATACTGCTGCTGATAATGGGATAATTGGATCAAAGGAGAGAGTTTCTTCGGGAATTCCGGAGTTTCAGAGGCAACATGCAGAAGGTATGTCTGACCTTTCTTTTCTGATTTCTATTTTTCTTTTCGGCTGCGAATTTATAATTATAATGCTTTATTTATATTATGCGGATTTTCTTAAATGAAAATGTTCTTTGTTTTTGTGGGGTAGAGGGGGGTTGGGGTGGGGGAGAGGAGAGGAGAACTTGTACTTATTCTGGTTTATTTTGGACTGGTTTGCTTTAACGTGGATTGGCTTTCGACTTTCGTCATTAGCTCTGAGCTTGAACCGAATGCTTTTCTCTATTTTGTCTTCCTTGAATGTTATTATGGTTTCTTGTATTTCATAACTTGTTCCTTTTTTAGATTCTGCTTGAATGTTCAATATATTTCATAACTTGTTGCTTTAAAAAAGACTCTGCATTTCAATGTAGCCATGGATCAGTCCGAGTTTTGTTTTTTGGAGTTCTTTGTGTAGTTAGAAAGAGTTGCGCCTCTTGAATTTCCAGGGATCTTATATTCCATTATAGTCTAACTACACCTCTCGAGTCACCATTCGTCCAAATTTTCCGTCATAGTCTAACTACGACTCTTGAATCCCCAGACATCCATATTTTTCATCATAGTAACTTAACCTCTTGAATAATTATACATCCCTTCTCTCTATTGATTGGTCATTTTCCATTTTAACAATAGCATCCACTCGGAAGTTTCAAAATCAACAAAAGAAAAGAACCTTTGGATACCTGATATCTCACTTTGTATAAGATCTCATAAATTTGAATCCCATTTCCTTCCAGTATGGAGGAACGGGCTATCCTTTAAAGCATGAATTGGGCACTGAAATCCAATGGATGCAATTGGATTTTATGGATGAACAAAAATGTTGCTCTTTGATTTCATTTATAGAAAGAATGTTGTCTCGGTTGTGCTATCAGAAGCTTCAAAGGAATGCCTAAGAAGAATTCCTATAATTCTTGCCGCTATTTGGTTTAGAAAAGTGTCAATTTTCAAAACATGCACATTACCCTCCAATATTTCTATGCCCTGCAGAAAGGTCCCTTACAATGTTATGAAGATTAGATTAGAAGAAACTATCTGTGGATTGATTGGATTTCTCATGGAGGATGAATATCGTGTGAGTTGTGCTATCAGAAGCACAAGGGAATTCTTGACAAGGAGTCTTATTCCTATAATTCTGATTGCTTTTTTGGTTTAGGAAAGTGTGGATTTTCCACCTTGTGTCACCATTCAATATATTCATTTGAATCTTTCGAAAGCATGTTTGAAAGCCACTCTTTATGGATCTCATTGGAGTTCACCCAGAGAAGGAATTTTATATCTCTTATTCTACCAGAAGTTCTAAGGAAAAACTTAAGGGGGTGTTTGATAGGCATTTTTATGTAAAAATGTATTTTAGAATAGTAAATTGATATGAAATGTGTGGTTCAAATAAGGAAATTTTTTTGATTTACATGTAATATTATTTAATAAAGAATGTGTAGTTGAAAAGAAGAGAGGGAAAAATGAATTTTAAAGAAAATGGCTACCAAACGGGCTCTAAGTAATCCTATTACGTCCTAGGTTTGGAGAAATGCAAATATTTTGTTTGACCTTGTGAAAAGATCCATTAGAATCTTCACAAGATAAGCCGACAAGCCACTTCAAATGAATCTTGTTGGATTTCATTTGAAAGAGGAATTCCCTAGAGTCTTTGAGAGAATACATGTGGAGGAATCCTTCGATTCGTCTGCATTCTTGATTTTTAAGAAGTGTGGATCTTTAACTCCTTTCTCACCATCCTTTAATATTATAGCTTCTTGACCCTATGGAAAAATATGTTCAAATCTTCCATATATTGTATAAAAAAGCCACTATTGGTTATTAGAATAAATGGACGCATAACGTTTTTTTCATTGCGATAGTTTTACTTAGTTAATTTGATTCTTTTGGAATGAGGGGTTCGCGATTTAGAGCTAATACATAAGGAGGAATCCTCTAATTCCGTCCGGTTTCCTTTTTTTTAGAGATCTTCAACTCCACTTACACCATCCTTTAGTATTTCTCCACCTTGTAGAAAGTTATGATTGTATCTTCCAAAGATTATTTACAAAAGTCATTATGGGAATTAGAGCAAATATGATTAATGCCTTAGCTTGCTATTTTAACTCTTTTTAGCTTGCTATTTTAACTCCTTTTTACTCCCTTATTTTGTGTCCATTTGATTCATTCAAGATGATAATACAAATTTAACCCTATTTGGTAGAAATTAAAATCAATATTTTAATTCAAGTCAAAATCATCAATTAATTTTAACTACACATTTTATGGGATTCACTACTTATCAACCACACATTTCATCTACTTCTATCAAAATCTATTAAAAATCTTAGTTGAATCCCATCAAAGAGGGTCTTAATATTTTTCTTTAAAGATCATGAATTTAGTTGTGCTACCATTTTAGACATGCCAACATAATCATTGGCATAAAAGTACTAAGGGTTATGAATTGAGGGGATGCTTATACAAAATTTATCATACCAATTTTGTCACATTTTGTTGTGCAATAGCTCTATTTAATTGAAGATGTGTCAATTACATTTTGACGTCTATATGGAAAATTTATAAAAATGTTCATTCACGTGTGAAGTTGTCACATTTTGCAGTATCTCGAGTTGGGTGCACTCTAGCATCTCGAGTTAGAAGCCTAGGAGAACTTGGAGCATCATTTTTCATTTGCAATAGAATTTATATTTCAAATTATCATTGAAAAGCTAGCTAGAAATAAACGAGCACATATTCTATAGGCGTGTTTCTCATCAAGTTTCTCACCAAGTCCCCTTGCCCCGTTTGTGACGCATGGGAGCTTCAAACATCATTGGTAAGCAAGTTCGTATTGAAGATTCTTTATTTCACTTTCTACGATTAAAGTGGCAACGTGGAGAAACACTTTTAGACTTGGTCCTTTTCAATGGAAGTTGTCTAAAAGCTCTATGAAGTTTCATACAAACAAAAAATAATAATAAAAATAAAAATAAAAAATGAAGGAATAGAACATAATTGAAAGAATGCTTTTCTTTTTTACAAAAAAGAAAAGAAAAGAAAGGAAGAATGCTTTATTTCCCATAAGGCCTACCACCTCGAAGCAAGCTCCCCGCCTACAAGCTCACTATCTTCGAGAGTCGGCCAATGACTAAACTTGTTACGTCCCTATCTGATACGCCTCGGAACGCGCACCACCATATATTCCGACCTGATAAAGACCCGTCTGAAGTATTTCCGAAGTGATATCAGCAACGTCTGCAACCTAGTAGCACGCTGCAAAGTACAGGCGATCCCTACTATTGACCTGACCGAAGCACCTTGCCCCCGAGGCCGAGGCCAAGTGGACATCGGTTAGAAGATCCGCCGCCAATTTCAGAAAGAGATTTGTGCCAAGATCCTTCCTGCACTTAAGGTTTAAATTGATTTGACGTCTCCATGAGGCTAGTTGATATGACTTATCGACTTTATGTCAATTCAACTCAGGAGAAACAAGCTGTCCGCCCTTCGAAGTTTTGCGTTCTCCATCGGAGAAGTTACCGAAAAACTAGCGACTAACTCTGAAAAGGGGACGTTCTTAAAAAAGAACAAAGTCGAGTTACAATGCAAGTTCTCACTACCCTTGAAAAAGAAGGTAGATGAGCTATAGCCATGAAGACGACAATCCCATGAGAGAGGCTTTTGAAGAAGAGGTACTCCATAACAATGTTACTCATCAGAGACCACATCACCGGCGTCGTCGAGGTGGAAGAACAGCCATACTCACTGAAAGAATGACTCAAATAGCTGCGGGTATGAGAGATATTGCAGCTCAGATATGGCAATGCATGAACTCATGCAAGCCCAGGGTCATCAAGGCTATCAAATGCCCCAAGGATCTTATCAGGTGCGGGAAGCTCCTGTATCTCACTCCCCAGGCCACATGAGCCAGCACACAGAACGTCCCCTCGAAAGAGAGATGAACGCCGAAGCCACATCTTATGTGCAAGGGAGCCAGCCATCCGAACCACACTTGGGGGACAATTTCCCTCAAGAACATGAGGGCCAGAGGTCGGTAAGCGTCTTCGACCGGATAGGGGAGGGTCCTAGCAATAGGGTCAGCCCAGTAAGAGGATCAGTTCGTCCAGATCACGAACAAGAACATGCTCCCCCTCCTCCTAGAAATAGGAGAGATAGGAGGAACCTAGTCGACTGGGGAAGTCGAGGAGAAGCACCTCCACCTCCCCAGAACATTCAAGATGATGAAGGGTCAGATGGGCCCTGTCGATCTTATGAGATTGACGATGATGATGATAATCTCCCTTTCTCAAGGGAGATCCGAAGTTTTCCAATGCCAGCAAATTTCATGCCCCCTAAGATCCCCAAGTATGAAGGAAAGGGGGACCCGGAGAAGCACCTCACCAAGTACATGACATAGATGAGCCTTAGGGAAGTCTCACCTGCTTTGAAATGCAAAGCCTTACATTTAACGCTAGGCGGGGCCGCCGACGTAAGGTATAGCAGGCTTCTTCTCCTAAGCATCAGTAGTTGGCCGGATTTGAAGAAAGCATTTTTGAACCAGTACCTCTCACGTAGGGAAGGAGGAGAGGCACCAGTGCAACGCCTGCAAGATATGAGGTAGGCCCCTGGGGAGACGCTGAAGAGCTATCTCGCTAGGTTTACAGACGAAATAACCTACTGTGAACAGGTTACTGGCAGAGAAGCCCCGGGGCCGCCGACGTAAGGTATAGCAGGCTTCTTCTCCTAAGCATCAGTAGTTGGCCGGATTTGAAGAAAGCATTTTTGAACCAGTACCTCTCACGTAGGGAAGGAGGAGAGGCACCAGTGCAACGCCTGCAAGATATGAGGTAGGCCCCTGGGGAGACGCTGAAGAGCTATCTCGCTAGGTTTACAGACGAAATAACCTACTGTGAACAGGTTACTGGCAGAGAAGCCCTTTCAGCTCTGAAATGTGGGCTCAACATGAACACTTTGTTCTGAAGGGACGTGCGCAGCAAGAATCCGTC